GGCTTCAGCATATGAATCTGGGAGAACACAAACATTCAATTCACAGCACTCCCAAACACCATGCTTAGAGTGACAGTGGTGATGGAGAGGAGGAGACCCTTTTTGGAGATATTTCTGCATCAAAATAAGCCAGCATCGGTGCTGACTTGGATGAAGGAGCAGGAAGGGAGAACAAGGGGGTAAAAGGGAGCAAGATCTGTGGCAAGAACTGTGGGTACACCTGGGCCATGTTCCTGGAAAGCAAGGCACATGGGGTGAAAAATTTAAGGAAGAAGTCATTCTCCTGTCCGTACAAGTCAGGGCGCCTCAGGGAAGGGGGCGTGCAGGAAAAGTTCAAGAATGTTCTTCTCTTTTAACAGTTTTATTGAAGTATAACTTACATACCATAACATCCATCTGTTTAAGGGTGAAATTCAATGGCTTTTAGTAAATTTACAGAGTTGTGCAAACATCACCCTAATTCAGTTTTAGGACATTTCTATCTCCCCGCTCCATAAGGTCCCTCATGCCCATTTGTAGTCCATCCTCTCTCCAACCTGAAATTATGATATTGCTTCAAATTAGTGATTGTCTTGCTTCTTTCACTTAGCCAAATATTTTGTGATTCTGTGTTAAAAAATCCTCATTTGAGTGTATGTATTTTTGATTTGCGAAAGAGGAGAGACAGACAGACACCAATTTTTTGCCTACTGTATGCACCCTGACCTGGGATTGAACCCTGGACCTAGGGATGTACCCTGATCAGGGATTGAACCTGCAACCTTTTGGTGCATGGGACAACACTCCACTCAACTGAGCCACACAGCCAGGTCTAGCCAAATTATTTTTGAGGCTTATCCATGTTGTAACATGTATCAGTAGTTCATTTCTTTTTATTGTTTAATGGCATTCCATTATATGGATGGACCAGAGTTTATCCATTCACCAGTTGATGGGCATTTGGGTCATTTCCTTCATTATGAAAAATGCTGCTTTGAATATTCATATATAAGCCTTTCCATGGACATGTTTTTATTTCTCTTGGGTAGATGGAATTGATAGAATTGTTGGGTCTTGTGGGAAGTTTAACTTTTTAGGAAACTGCTAAATTGTTTCTCAAACTGGTGGCAATGTTTTATATTCCCACTTGCAATGGGCTTTGCCATATCATTACCAATACTTGGTATTGCCTCCCTCCCCATTTTTCAAATCCTCACCTGAGGACATTTTTTCATTGCTTTTAGAGAGAGATGAAGGGAGAGAGGAAGGGAGAGACATCAATGCAAGAAAGAAGCATCGATCAGTTGCCTCTTGTATGTGCCTGGACTGGGAATTGAACCCACAACCCAGGCATGCACCCTGACCAGGAACTGAAGCCATAACCTTTTGGCTGCAGAATGATGCTCCAACCAACCGAGACACACCAGCCAGGGTGATACTGCCTTTTTGAGTGAGGTTGTTCTGGTGGATGCCACGTGCTATTAGTTCTGTAAAATACACAAGTGGAGGTGTCCAAGAAGCAGATGGGCATGGGGATCTGAGTTCCAGGGGGAGATCTGGGCCGTACATAGACTTTTGGGAGGCCTCAGCTGTAGATTCATTTAGTCAGTAAATAGTTTCTTGGGCATCTACTAGGTGCCAATGACTGTCCTAAGTCTTGCGGTTATAGTTGTGAAGAATATAGACATGTAGGTGCCCTTGTGAAGTTGCAAGTCTAGTGGAGAAGACAGACCATAAACAAATAAAATTATAATGTCACATGCTGTTTTAAAAAAATAGAGCAGTGTAAGAGACAGAGAGTGGTGGGGGCTGCTGTTTGTAGATGAGGTGGCCAGGGAAGGTCTGTAATGGCCATATCACTCAGAGTCTGGTCAGGGTAACAGACTAGTCCAGGGTTTCAAAGAGGGAATTTAATACAGGAAACTGGTTGAGTGTGAGATGGAAGAGTTGAGAAGCCAAACTGATCAGGGAATCCAGCAATTAGCCACAGTACACAGCTGTTAGAGGGGCATGAAAAAGGGTGGTATGATGAGAAAGGGGCTTTTGTGTGGGAGCTGGCACCATGGAGGGTGTGTAACCATGATGTCAGGACACACCCTGGCCACAAGCAGAAAGAGAAATACCCCAGCTTCTTCCTTCCTCCCCACTCTCCAATCTCCCTCCAGTGCCTCCTATTGGATGAATCTAATAGGGAGCCAATGTGCAAGGGAACCTGGGAAGTGTAGTTTTCTGGAGAATGGTAGAGCATGTTTTTTACCCAGATGCTAGAACATTAATATAAGTGAAGTAAGTAAATGAACAAACCATATGTGTATCTGTGGTAATAATGTGCTGGGTAAAGGACAGCAAGTTCAAAGGTCCTGAGGCCAGATGGAACCAAAACCCTGAGAGTGGGTGTGGTGGTCTACACTAAGTGTACAGAGAGGGGCTGGAAATCTACAGCAAAAGCCTGGGAGATGTAACTAGAGAGAAGACAGGAGACAGTGGTGGTGCAGCTAGAGAAGTGGGGGCAGAACTAGAAAATGTTAAGATTTTTGAAATCAAGGGACAAATGACTTTCAAGAAAGAGGGAACGCTCCATGAAGACTCACTTGTGGGAGTGACTAAATGAGGGCCAGTGTGAGGCTGTGGGATGAGCAAATTGAAAGGTCATTGGCCCCTATGATGAGAGGAGTTTCAGAAAGATGGAGGAGGTGGGAGGTGAAGAAGCAGAGACAGCAAGGGCAGATGTGAGTGTAAACCTCCTTGGAGAAGCCTGGCTGAAAGGAGCCGGGGCAGTTTCCTACAGCATACACCCACAGTGCACGAATGAGAGTGTCACTCAGTCCCTCATTCTCTAAGCTAGGAGGCCTGGAGCCTAGTGGCTTTGGTGTCTAGTATCAGACACACCCGAGTTCAAATCTTGGGCCCACACTTACCTGCTGGGTCACTTTGACCCGGTCCCCTCTCCTTTTTGAGCCGTTTAGTGCCGTGTAAATAGGAAAGTCACTGTACTTTTCATGGGAGGGTGCGGTAACTGCTCAGCAAGCACATTTGCATCGTGTTCAGCACTCATAAATGCAAGCTGTAGTACAAGTAGGTAAGGGCGCATCTCATTTTTTTTAAGCTCGCCATCAGTTGCAAATAATAATAAGGATGGCAGCTACTATTTATAAAACACTCACCATCTCCCAGTCACCCTGCAAAATGCTTTCCAAGCCCCATCTCCCCGCACTGTCCCCAGCTCGCCGTGCTCCAATCACACCGGCTGCCTTCCTGTTCCTTGAACACCTACCCTCCTGCCCGGGCCTTGGCGCTTGCCGTTCCCATTGCCGGGAACTCTTCCCTCCCCTGTCCACGCGGCTCCCTCCCTCACCTTCTGCAGGTCTCCTCCCAGATGTCACTTTCCCCAACGACCCTGTTTCAAGTTTACTCCCCTATTTATTCTTCTGCTCCACTTGAATCTCTGTGTCTTATTTTACTTTTGTTTTCCTATTTCTTGTGTGATTCACTCCACAGAATGTTCGGCTCCACAAAGGCAGGCATTTTGTTTGTGGTTCACAGTGTCTGGGACACAGATGCTCAATATACCTTTCACTTGATTCTTGGGACAATGGAGTCCTTTACACATATCAGAGTCCTCACAACAACCCACTTTGCAGAGGAGGAAACTGAAGCAGAGAGGTCATTGCAGGAGGTGACACAGGGGCAGAACCTCCCTCTCGGTGTCAGAAAAAGGACAGTTCAAGACCCGCACTCCCATGTTAAGGGCTATTCTCCAGGCGAGCCCTGCAAAAGCCTGAGTCATCGCCGCCTCCAGACGGCGGTGGCGGCGGCGGCGGCAGCGGCGGCGGCGGCGCGAGGTGATGCCGGAGCGCCAGGAGGGGGCGTGAGCGCAGGGAAAACAGAGGAAATTAAACCCGCCGGGCGCTTCTCCCGCAGCTTCGCCGCCCCCGCCGCCCCCGCCGCCCCCGCCACTCCCGCCGCCGGCTGGTGCGTGGGTGGGAGGTGCGGGGGCTCTGCACTCTCCGCTCCCCAAAGCGGGGGCGCTGGGGCCCTGGGGCGTGGAGAAAGTCGCAAGCATCAGTTACCCGCCCCCACCCCAAGTTCAAGTTGTGAGTGGAGAGCCACCTGGGACTTGTCTGCAAAAGGCTAGCTCCTGTCTCCGCCGCACGGGTCTTAATGCCGCCCCTGGGTGCACTGGGGAATCCTCCTGCTGACCTAGTGACCCTCTTTTCCGCATCTTTATCCAGATCACCGCGTCTACCGGCTTCGGACCCGCCACTCTGGGCTTCCCTCGTTCCAAAACGACCCAGTGGTCCCCAAAGTAGTCCCCAAAGAGTTGCCCTTTCCGCAAGGAAAAGGAAACTCTGGGCTGCTGGATTCATGGGGGCGCACCAGAGTCTCGCCCCCCATAGACCCTCACACCTGTCCTCCCGGGTGTTAGAGAGCCGGGGTCGCTGTCCTAACAGGAGATGGGTGGGGATTTGGGACTGGTCCCCTGCCAGCTTTGGGTGGCCGAGGTGGGCCAAGCACTGGGGTTCTGTGCGCTGAAGGTAGCCTGGGGACACCGCTGGTGGGGGGCGGGGGGAGACCCCGCTGGTGGGGGGCGGGAACGCCGATGGGGGCGGGTCTGGGAATGCCGCGTCGCTGGGCTGGGGCCATGGGGACGGCGCAGTGCTACCTCTCGGGGTGGGATGGTCCCGGGCAGGGGAGCGGCTTGGCCGGGGGAGGGTCTGGGACAGTCCGGGCGCCCCCCGGCGCCACCCCCCGGGCTCCGGGCCTGAGCCGTGACGTCACAGCGGCTGGAAGTGCCCGGCGCGGAGGCGCGGGAGGGGGCGGGAGTCGAGCCGGTGCTTTATAAACGGAGCCCGCCCGGCGCGCTGAGCCGCAGCCCGCGTCCCGGAGACCCCCCCGGCCGGCCGGTCCCGGACCCCAGCTCGCGCTCGCGCGCCCGGGTTGGCTGGGCGGCGAGGGACGGAGCGCCAGGCGGCGGGCGGGAGAAGGGACGCGCGGCGGGCGGCCGCGGGGCATGAGGCGGGGGCGCGATGTCGGTGCCGCTGCTCAAGATCGGGGCCGTGCTCAGCACCATGGCCATGGTCACCAACTGGATGTCGCAGACGCTGCCCTCGCTCGTGGGGCTCAACGGCACAGTGTCCCGTGCCGGCGCCTCCGAGAAAATCGTGAGTGGCCGCCGCGCTGGGGGCGCTCCCGGGGGGCGTGGTGCCGGTGCCGCCGCCGCAGCCCCCGGGGACCCCGGTCCCCCAGCTTCCCTGCCCGGGAGCGCTCTTCCGGGGCTGGGGGCCAAACGCACTGGCGGAGGGGCCTCGCGACCCTCAGCTAACTCCGCGCTGCTCATCATCGCTGCTGCTGTTATTATTTATTGTTACTGAGCAGTGTCCGAGTGGCAACAACGTACAGGGCTCGCTCCGGCCCGGGGTGGAGGCGGCGAGGGTCGGGGCTGAGTGGGGCAGAGCCGGGGGGAGGTTCCGCCCCTCCGAGAGGGACCCTGCCTCGGAGCCCCGCAGCCTCGGGATCTCCGAGTGCCTCCGCCTCGGGGTCTCTGCCTGTTTGTGTCGGTGTCTCTGAACAGTCCAGTGTGTCTGTCTGTCTGTCTGTCTCCCGGTCTGTTTTCCCTCTGGTGCGCTCCTCTATTTACGTCTCTCCCTGTCTCTGTCTCTGTTGCACTGCCTCTGACTTTGTATCTCCTTTTTGTCTATCTATCGTTTCCTCTCTTATCGCCCCCCGCCACCCCAGGACCTCACTCTTCATTACCTGCTCACCACGTGCTGAATCTGAATATTTATCCCCGTAACTTGCCCTCCGTAGGATGTAGAAGGGTTTCAGCCTGGGGCAGGGGCCTACGCTGCCCCCAGAAGCTCCAGCGTTGCCCCTCCCCCACGCTATCCTATCCTCCATCACCTTCGTCCTCCCGCTCCCCTGCGGTGGAGCTTGAGGGGAGGGAAGGGAACCCAGTCGGGGTTAGTAGCGGTGGTCCTGGTGTCCCCGGGTGAGGGGAGGAGGCAGCCTCCATTGCAAACTTCCCTCCATCTCCTCCGGATGTGCCCCTCCCACCCTGTCCCCTCTTCAGTCTGTTTGCCGGAGTCCTCCCGATAGGTGGAGCTGGGATGCGTGGGCTTCCTCTCCCGCTCGATTTTGCCCCAACTTCCCCAGCAACTCTGTTTAGCCCCAAAGGCTACCACGCTGCTTCTTTCTGTCCCTTCCATGAACGAAAAGGGGTCTTTGCTCCCGAGAGTTTCAGGCAAGGGGAGAGGGTGTGCCATGCCCTTTGCCCGGGCTTCGCCCAGCCCCCGGGGGTGGGGGGATTGCCCTGGGCTTGGCACAGGTGAGGGGTATCAGTGCAAACTCAGACTTGAAGCTAGTGTGTGAATCATACATGATGCCTCAGCGTCTGTCCTGATGTGTCTCTCTGTGCATGGGTTTCCGTGTGTCTGTGGGGGGTGTGTGTGAATGGGGGGTGAGAAAGTTGACGCTCTTTGCCAGCATAGGGGCCTAAGTGTATTTTTGTGTGTGTGAGGGTGAGTCCCAGGATTAGTGTGAGTGTGTCCCTGAGCGAGTATGTCTGGGTGTGGATGCATCTAACTGTGATTCTGCAGTTGTATGTCGCTGATGGAGGGTTCCCATGTGTTAATGTGATGGCATGTGCCCATATGTGTTTTCATACATGAGTCTGAGACGGCCTTCTTGCTGTTACCTTCTGAGGGGCAAGAAAGATGTTTCATTGAAATTAAAAGCCAGGTTCCCCTCCCGTACCATTGAAGGAATGTGACTTTGTGTGAATGCATGCATGTATTATGTGCAGCATACAGTGTATAAATGAGGACATATGCTCTGTCTGGAGAAAGTGTACATAAGTGTGTAACAGTGTGTCTCTGAGTTATGATTTTGTGTGTACATATGAGTCTGTGCAAGGACGTACCGATGCATGTGTGTGCATATAAATGTGGACATGTACATCTTCAAGAGAATGTGCATACATGTGTAAGTGTGTATCTGATAATGTGAGTCTACCTTGTATTATACGCATGTGGTGGGTTTCTGGGTGTATATGTGTTTTCTGTGAGTGTGAGTGTGTGTGTGCACCCAACAGACCTGGTCTCCACTCTGGCCAACCCGTAGTGAATAATGCCTTGGTCAGTGCTCCCATGAAATTGCCTGCTGAAAGCTAACAGTTCTCCGATCCCCGATCCCCACCCTATCCCTGAGCTTCACTAAGCCTTGCCAGAAGGGCTCTTTGGATGCCAAGGGAGGGGCTCAGTTTGGGACCTGGGGGGGGGCGCTGTGACATGAGGGTGCTCTGGGAGGGCCTTGGGAGTGTGTGAGAGACCTAGGTGGAATCCAGACATTCCCCGAACTTGCTCTTGACTCAGGGCCAGTGACTTCAGCACTTTGAGCTGCAGTTTCCCCGTGAATCAAATGGCCATGATGACTCCTACCTCACAGAACTGTCATGGGCAACAGATCTACTGCCCAGCTCCCCGTCCGTCCATCCTTCCTTCCATCCATTCATTCATCTCTCCATCCATTCATCTCTCCACCCATCCATCCACCCACCTGTTCATTTATCTCTTTATCCTTCCATTCATCTTTCCATCCACCTCCATCCATCTTCCCATTGATTATCCATCACTTGCCTCTCCGTCTATCCTTTCATGCATCCATCCTTCCATCCATCTATCTCTCTATCCATGTAGCCACCAATACCTCCTTTCAGTCATTATCCATCATCTGGCCATTTCTTCATCTGTCCTCTATTTATTCACCCTTCCATCCACCTATCTCTCTTTCCATCCATCCTCTCATCCATCTTGTTTCGTCGGCAGACTTATTGAGTGCCTCCTTTATGTTGAGCATGTGTATGCTTGAAAGCTCCAGCTCAGTGCCTGCCATAGGAGATTCTCAGTTAGTGCTAGGACTCTGAGTCAAACATCTGGGTTTGAACTCTGGCCCATGCTAGCAGTATGGCCTTGAGGGGAGTTATTTCATCTCTTTCAGCTCCAATATCCTTATTAGTCAAGGAGAGGTCAGAGTCCCTGTTAGACCACAGGATCCATGAGGACAGGTATGTTTTGCTTACTACTGAACTCTAAGGCTTGATGCATAGTAGGCCTGCAATAAATATTTGTCAGGTGGCAGAACCAACAATGATGTCTTCATAAGGATTCATGGGTCCCACCTTCAAATAGAAACAAATGGGTGGATGTGGTGCATGTAGGTTAGTGATTTTCAAACCTTTTTTTATCTCATGGCACATATTAATTTACTAAAATTCTGTGTCACACCAAAAATAGATATTTTTTACTGATCTGACAAAAAAAGGCTATAGTTTTTATTCATTCACACCGGACGGCTATTGTTGTGTTGGCTGTTGTTTTATTTGACAGTCTAAGGGTAAAGAGGTCAGGGCCCCTGACTAAATAGTCAGGTATTGCATGCTTTAAAAATTCTTGTGGCACACCTGTTGAAAATCCCTGATATAAGTGCTCAGTAAGGAGAAATTGCTTTGTTTGTCATTGTAGTCAAGCACATAGTAGGTCTCCAATAAATATTTGTCAAGTGTCTAAAACAATAATCCACCTTCCTGAGGACTGGGAAGAGCAAGTGGAAATGACAAGGCACAGAGTAGGTGCTCAGTAAGGTGGAGCTGTGAGAAGGTGTAGGGCACCAATATGGGTTACCCAACGGATTGTAGTGAGAATTCCCATTATAAGGCAGAAGGTTGGGTGCTGGTATTTGGCTTAATAAAGAACATCAGTTGCGAGGTGTGGGGGCTGGGGATCCCAGACCCTGTGGCCATTCTTGTCTCTGGCTGTCCCTCCCCGACCTGACCCAGAGGAGCAGCTTCACATCCTAAGAGGCTCTGAGAGATGGTGGTACAGACCATCCCTGGAAAGGAATGGGGAGGGAGCTGCCACTGCTCCTGGCTTTGGCCAACGCCCAGCCATAAACCATCCTTGTGGGATGGGAGCCTTCGATGGAATGGCTTCTCACCCGGGGGTCATAAATCCGGAGCCAGACCAAAAGCTGTCAGCCTTGTTGCCAGCAGCTGCTGTCGTTATGGGGCCTGAAGTGAGTTACCTGCATCTTATACGTTGTGTCATTGCCCATTTCCCTCATCCTTAAGGTGGGAGGGAAGAAAGGGAAGGTGGAGGAGGGTATTCTGTCTGGGGAGGACCCTCTCCTCATGGAGGAATGGGGAGGGGCTGAGCAGCTATCAGCAAAATGTTCTTTGATGATTTTCCTGTGAAGAATCAAAGTGTCGAATCCATGTCTCTTCCTGACAGTTTTCTGGAGGGAAATGGCCTCGGAGAGTCTATGCATGTATCAGTCCAGACAGGCCGAGTTACACTGTGGTCGTGAAGCAGCCTCACGTCTCTGTGATTTATGTATTTCTCTTTTGCACTAGGTGTCCACTGTTGGCTGGAGGTCTCTGTCCATAGTGGTCACTCAGGAACCCTGGGTGATGGAGGCTCTATGGTGACATAATCACTGAGACAAGAAAAGGAGGGTGCAGCAAACTCTCACTAGCCCCTAAAGCCTTGCCTTGGAGGTGACACATGTTACCTTTGCTCACATTTCATTGGTCAGTGCAAGTGACATGGCATGCCTAACCTCAAAGAGAGTAAGGAGTGTGGTCCTACGCTGACCTGGTTGGAGAGGAAGGACCAGGTATTTGTGAACAATGCTGACTGCCTCCCTGCCCTACTGATTCCCTCCTCCTTTTACCCTAAGTGACAAGATTTCTCTTAGAGGGTATCTCCATTCAACAAATATGTATTGAGTACCTACTATGTGGCAGGCACTATTCTAGGTATCAAAGATATACCAGTGAACAAAATAGACAGATACCCTTGTCCCTGTGGAACTGACATGCTAGGGTAGGGATGGGAGACATAAGTAAGTATGTAGAAAAATCTACACTATTTGCAGTGATGATGTATGTGCTGTGAAGAAGCATAGAGCAGTATGAGGGGAGTGGAGAGTGCTGGGAGCACTTTTAGGTTGAGTGGCCTTTCTGAGGAGGTGATGTTTGAACAGAGATCTGAAGGAAGGGAGAGAGGGCTCATATCTAGAAGAAAGGAATTGCAAGTCGAGGGAACAGCACGTGCAAAGGCCCTGAGGTGGGAGTATGCCTGGAGTGTTGGAGAAACAGTGAAGATAC